TTACCAGCTGAGCCACAGGAGAGGCCCAAGAATACTGGAGTGGGTAGCCTATTGCTACTCCAGTAGATCTCCCCGAACTAGGAGTTGAACCAGGGTCTCTTGCATTGCAGGCGGATTCTTTACCAACTGAGCTATCAGGGAAGCCCTGAAAATACAAGTAATAGTCCCTTTAATTTTTATAACAATTCTGCTATATAAGTACTACCAATGTTCCCATTTTCAGATGGTAGAAATGCAAGCTCAGAGAGGACACAACTTAGCAAAGTCACAAAATTACTAAGGCTAGTGAGTCTAAGAGCTGGGAATTAAGGTGGCCAGTGCACCATTTTTGACCTCTGGGTTGTGCTCATGGTATGATGCAGGGTGGCATAATGAAAGAACGAGGGCTGGCTGGCAGATGACCCCGCTCAGTTCCTGGCACATGTGATAAAAGAATAGTAACTAATGTCTATGTGACACTGACTTTGTACTGAATTCTTTATGTGCATCGACTCCTTTGATTTTTCACAGCCACCCTGTGGAGTTAGTGTTGGTGTCACTTTTGCTTAACATGAAACAACGGAAGGATGTGGTGATAGAGAACTGGCTGGAGCAGTCTGGACTCCTGTCCGTCGTGCCACCTGTCACCTCACATTCAGCTTGCCACAAATTGTAGGTTTTTAGAAGAGCAACATGGCAATGCAGAGGAGAAGCTGTAGTGAAGAGGGTTTGTTTTGGGCACTAGCCACTTCCTTTCTCTGGTCTTAGCTCCTTTAATAGCTCTTCTGTCCAGACCCCACAGCTTTCTGAATGTTCAAAGCTGCCAAATATAATAACATTATATGATAAAGATGATGGGCTTCCCGGTGCCTCAAATGGTAAAGAATCTGCCTGCAATGCAGGAGACCCAGGTTCAATTCCTGGATCAGGAAGATTCCCCTGGAGAAGGGAATGGCTACCCACTGCAGTGTTCTTGCCTAGAGAATTCCATGGACAGAGGAACCTGGTGGGCTTCAGTCCATGGGGTCGCTGAGCGACTAACACTTTAATAAATGTGATAGTAGTCACCTAGTAAATGTCTGTGGAATGAGTGAGTGAAGACTTCATTGGGGCAGCCATTCTTATTTACATTTTATGGATATGGAAACTGCGCTGCAGGAAATTAAACAACTGCCAGTGCTTACACTAGTTGTAGAACCGAAGTTTTAGTTCATTTCTGATTTACTCCAAACCTGAGTCTTCCTACCTCATTCTATAGATTTCCATATAATTTGTTCTCACTGAAGCTTCAGTATAAAACTTTCTTTCCTCTATTCCTTTCCCTCCTTCTTTCTGGGTCTTTATCAAATTTTTTCAACCCTCAGTTTGCTGAGTGAGCTCTCCTTAGAATCAAGAAGAAAGTACACTGGGTGAACAAAATCCTACAAACAGAGGAATGACCAGTGTCAGTAACAACCATAGTAGCTACAACTAACTGTACTTGTTTTTTTCTTGGCCCTGTGCGATCTTAGTTTCCTGACCAGGGATTGAACCCACACCCCCTGCACTGGAAGTGTGGCGTCTTAGCCCCTGGACAGCCAGAGAAGTCCCCTAACCCAGTACTTATTATGTGCCGTTTAATCCTCACAATGGCCCTGTGGTACAGGTATTTTCCTCTTTGTTTTATAGTTGAGAAAATGAGATTGGGCTTGAAATTAATCCATGTTCTCTCTGGCTATAAGTCATAGATCCCAGAAACTGCATTCTACATTTTAAAAGATTATCCTAGTTACCTTCAAAACCCCTCCAGTAGAAGAACTGACTGGCAAAATAGGTAAGGGAAAGAGCATTCCAACAACATTCCATGGAATTCTCCAGGCAAGATTACTAGAGTGGGTTGCCATTTCCTTCTCCAGGGTATTTTCCCAACCCAGGGATCGAACCCGGGTCTCCTGCATTGCAGGCAGATTCTTTACCAACTGAGCCACAAGGGAAGCCCTTTCCAACAACATGGAAAGGTTTTTAAATTAGACGGGGTCAGAGTTTCATAATTCTTGGCCGCACTATAGAATACTCTGGAGAATTTCCAAGAAATACCCTGACCCCAGCACACATCAAGTAAATAATAATTTTTTCCATTAGTGTCCAGAAGATATATACTTTTTAAAGCCTTTTAGGTGATCCCAGTGTCCAGCCAGGGTGGAGAACGACATTGCCCCTGTAGATAGGTGAGAGGGTAGCTGTAGACTAGACGTAAATTGTTCTCATATCACCGTGTAAGATCACAGCATTCACATGTGTGGGTGCTCAGCCAATGTGTGTAGACTGATTGACTGAAACCTGGAAAGAGCTTTGAAATCAGGAAAGTTAAGGCAATGCACAAAGTTCAGGTTAAGTGTAGAGATACATTTATAAATGTATATCTTTAGTCACAAGTAGAAAGGACTTAAAATTATGCCTGAATTGTGTTAGTTGGGCAAGTCAGAATTTTCTGCGAACTATTTAATTATGCCACTATTTATAAAATATATCTTCACCTTAGTTGTGACATCATGCACACCGTCCACAGTATCAAGTGTTTTGTGGCTGGAGAAAGGCCATTGATGTGGCCCAATGCCTCGCAGTTTTTGCTGTGTTTCCTTCCCGTCCCTTCTCTTATCTGCTTATCTTTCCTCTTCCCTTCTTATCTCTTCTTCCCCATACTCAGCAGAGAAATTTGAAGGATACTAACAGAGCTGAGAGTGTTCATTTTTTAGATTAAAAAATGAGTCAATATGTTTCTGCCTCTGCCACCCCCCGCCTCTCTGCCTCACCCCCTCTTTTCAATCAACATAGTTATAAAGTCAAGAAGAAAGAGTTGATTATAGATTTTGGTACCCTGATGCCCAACAACAACAACAAAAAACAACAATAGCAACAGCAATCAAACAGAGGTTTCATATCCCATTTTATTTGTTTAAATTCTGCCTCTTTCCAAAAAGTATTTGAAGTCATACAGAATATAGTAACATTGCAGAAAATTAGTAACATCTGAAAAGAGAAGTTAAGATCTTAGAAAAGAGGAGATAGCAATATGATAACCATATGAGCCTAGCAGAATTCTCTGAATGAGGAAGACTTTTACCATGCAGTTCCTGATAGGGCAAGAAGTAGCTGTAGTTAGCAGAAAAGAGGAAGTGTGTAGCGATTACTCAGGGATGGTAAAGAAACTTCTGCCCTGTGAGCTCATAGGGGACTTTGTCTTGATAGCTGCCTCCTTAGCTACAGAGTCACAACAAACTCCAAAGTAGTTTTGGTATTACTGTTTGTTGTAGTTGAAGACAACGTTAAAGCCAAGCTCAGTGAATCTGATATTGATTTGAGCTGATCTTCATAACATACACATTTTGTCTTCTTTTATTATTAAATATTTTCTCCCTTGCTTTCCTTTAGAACATTAAGTCACAGTATAAATGGATGAGTTGTGTTTTTGATCTACTACATGATTTTTTCTCCCTCAGTTCACCATTTACTAATAGAGAAAATTTAACTTATTTTTAGTTGCTTGGGATCCCTCAAAGGCCCTATCTTGTTTTGATTTCCATTTCCCATTTGGTGACACATTTTTTTTTTTTTCAATTTAAAAACCTTTTTATTTATTTGCTTGTATCAGGTCTTAGTTGCGGTGCACGGGCCTAGTTGCCCCATGGCGTGTGGGATCTTAGTTCCCCAGGGATCAAACCAGCATCTCCTGCATTGAAGGTGAACTCTTTATCACTGGACCACCTGGGAAAGTCCCAGTGATACTTGTTAGAGGAGAGGCTGGAAAGTGACAGACCAGGGCTCATGTATGTTGATGCTGTTGGGTGTGGCCAAGGAACACTTTTCCTCTTATGACTCTGTAGCTGCAAAAGTAATGAAGCAGTTCAGAGCAACTTAGGATGTCACAGTGGCTGGTATGGATACGGACAAGAGTACTCTGCTTCTTTCAGCGAAATAAGCAAGCAGAGACCTACCTTCCCACTCTGAATCCCACATTGGCGAGTTCTTTCTCCTTAGAGTCTTCTACTAGTGTCTAGTCCTCAGAAGTAATGATGATTAGAATCTGAACTAAATGGAGAAGGCGATTTTTACCAGGCAAAAGCTGTTTGTGTAAACTTGGATTTCAGTTGTCTTTTTTCATTTCTCTTTTGGCAGCAAACATTAATGCTTGAGGACACGCTGCCACTCATTTCTGGGAAGCACCAAATATTTGGTCTTTATCTGCATTCAGACTGAGTCAGTTTCAAGTTATTTCCGTAGATATTAAAACATAAATATTTAGATAAAACAAGTTTATAAATTATGTAATTTACTCCATCATCTGTGGAACTATGAATTTTTTTCCTAGGGTAGATTGAAAAATTTATTGAACACTTACTTTGTAAAAGGCATTATAATAAGTAATTAGTGCAAAGTTGGGGGATACATTATAAATAATAGACATGGAGATAGCCCAGTGTAGGCTTCCCATCTAGTTAAGTGAAAATGTTAAATCAGTGAAATTATTTTAAAGTAGAATATTTTTGAGATACAGAATTGTTCATTGCAGTAAAAGTTGAACATGAATATGTTTGGGGCATCTTAGAAAAAAGAGTGTACTGAAGTTAGTTAGGTTCAGAATAGATAGATTTTAAAACAAGTATTAAAAGAGACAATCAACATGGGTTGGTGGAGGTGACTGAGTTACAAAGAAGTAAGATTAGGATTATACTTTGAAAGTTGTGTTTTCTGGAAACTTCCTGAGATGAACTTGTCTGATAATAATTTTTACTACAATATTAAAATAGAATCCTTAAAATTAAAATAAATTATTTTTATATGTGGGTGAGGCTCTGGTGAATGATTTTATGCTTAAAATACAGACATTATTAAATACTCATTAAAATGACAGTATGAGGAGTTATCTGCCTTCAAAACCCAGGGCAAAACTGCCTTAATTGCAAAACTGCCACATTTTTTGAAAAGTGCTTATTGTGATCTTTCCCCATTTTTCTTTTAATTTTATACTGTATTATTTTCAGAGGCAAAATCAGTGAAGGCTTGGACAATTTGAAACGTGTTAGTCCCGTAGGAGAGACATACATCCATGAAGGACTAAAGCTAGTAAGTTCTTTTATACTTATATAAGTATGGGAAAGAACGTTTCCTTACTCTGTAATAAAATAAATTATAACTCCCTAGTAAAACTGGAAGATGCCATTACATGCTTACCTTAAAGTTAAAAAAAAATTCTTTTAGTTGTTCTAGGGATAAGACTGATAGAAAGAATTTACCATGGTGATAAAAGAAGTTTGTATGACAGTTTGCCTTTTAAGGAATTTTCCATTTTCTCTGTGACTATATTCAGAGAACCACATTTTCTCTGTGGTTATAGTCAGTCAAGGCTAAAAACCTTTATCATTTACACCCAATAGTAGTTACTCTATAATGTGAATATATGTATATTTCAAATTAAAGTAGTTAATATAAAATACCTTGTTTTAAAGAAAGAAGAAAGAAGTGAAGTCATTCAGTCATGTCTGACTCTTTGCAACCCCATGGTCTGTAGCCTACCAGGCTCCTCTGTCCATGGGATTTTCCAGGCAAGAGTACTGGAGTGGGTTGCTATTTCCTTCTCCAAGGGATCCTCCCAACCCAGGGATCCAACCCAGGTCTCCCACATTGCAGGCAGACGTTTTACTGCCTGAGCCATCAGGAAGCCCTACCCTGTTTTAAAAGCCAGTTTGATTTTGCCAGACTTAAAATTCAGCTTGATGGAACATGCTGGTTAAAAGTTAAGATTATCTTGTGAGTTGGACAATTTTTCTTCGTTTTCAGGCAAATGAGCAAATTGAGAAAGCAAGAGGCTTAAAAACCTCCAGTATCATAATTGCTCTGACAGATGGTAAGTTGGACGGTCTGGTGCCATCATATGCAGAGAAAGAGGTGAGTATTGACGGAAACTGCTCTTTACACTCCAGTGTACTTTGCTGTATGTCTCTGCATGTGTAGCCTGATGTGTGAATCATTCACCTGTTTCCCTCTCTCTCCCCCTCTCTCTTTCTCTCAATAGGCAAAGATATCCAGGTCACTTGGGGCTAGAGTTTACTGTGTTGGTGTCCTTGACTTTGAACAAGCTCAAGTAAGTGTAGCAGATCTGCAGCCTTGAATCTAAATTACGTAGTAGTCTTAAGCAGAGTTGATCAGATTTTAAAATCACGACTTGCATGCATGCTTTCTTGGTGGCTCCATGGTAAAGAATCTGCCAGGAATGTGGGAGACCCAGGTTTGATTCCTGGGTTGGGAAGATCCCCTGAAGAAGAAAATGGCTGCCCACTCCAGTACTCTTGCCTGGAGAATCCCATGGACAGAGGAGCCTGGCAAGCCACAGCCCGCAGGGTCACAAAGAGTCAGACATGACTGAACAACTAACACTTTCATGCATGCTAAGTTGTTTCCGTTGGGTCTAATTCTTTGTAGCCCTGTGGACTAAAGCCTGCCGGGCTTCTCTGCCCATGGGATTCTCCAGGCAAGAATACTGGAGTGGGTTGCCATGCCCTCCTCCAGGGGATCTTCCTGATCCAAACCCGTGTCTCTTACTATGTCTTCTGCATTGGCAGGTGGGTTCTTTACCACTAGTGCCCCCTGAGAAGCAGAGTGTTAGTCACTCGTGGGGTCTGACTCTTTGCAACCCTGTGGACCGTAGCCTGCCAGATTCCTCTATGCATGGAATTCTTCAGGCAAGAATATTGAATTGGGTTGCCATTCTATTCTCTAGGGGGATCTTCCCAAATCCAGGGATCAAACCTGGGTCCCCTGCATTGCAGCAGAATTCTTTATCATCTGAGCAACTACGGAAACCCAATTAATTGTTGAAGATTTTCTGTAAAAATGGCCCCCTGTCTTCAACTCTGTGTTAGTAATGTCTGATTTTGATAGGTTTCATTACCTAACTAAACTGAAGACAAAACTCTGTTTTTCTTGAACAGTAATAAAATAATATGCATGCTCCTCTTTAATCAGCTGACAAGGTTATCATGACAAGTCTTGTTTAGATGTTTTGGTTTGATTGAAAACTTGACTTGTAGGAGCTTAGAATTTGGGAAGTCTGTTGGAAAAATCTTTAAAGACTTTCCTTAAAAAAATGTTTTTTTCATGAAGTTTACAGGATTTATGTATTAAATTTTTTTTCCCACTCACAAAATGTTTTTACATTTAAATGTCTGGTTGAGTGTGAGTGAAGTTTCTGTGTCTCATAACATTTACAGCTAGTAGAGCTCTGCGCTGTTTTGAAATCACAACTTAAGGCCAATTGTAAAGGGGCTGTGCCTGATCTCAGTTCATTTTTTTGTGATGTGTTTAGAGTACACCAGTTACTCCGGCCAGTTCCTTACAAGGAATTAATCCTCTGGTGTCAATTTTCAGATGAATGTAACTAACAAGTAAGGAAGGGGTATAAAAGGTTGTATGTCTCAGCCACCTCTCAGTGAACTTTTCCTCCTTTTTCTAAAGCTGGAAAGAATCGCTGATTCCAAGGAACAAGTTTTCCCTGTTAAAGGTGGATTTCAAGCTCTTAAAGGAATAATTAATTCTGTGAGTATTTCTTTGGGGGTAGGAAAGGCTCATCATTTTAGACATATTTTAAATTAAAAGACTTACTTTTTTTTATTTTGTTTGGTGGTGTAGCTGATTCACAATGTTATGATAGTTTCGGGTGAACACTGAAGGGACTCAGCCATATATATACATGTATCCATTCTCCCTCCATCTCCCTCTCATCCAGGCTGCCACATAACAGTGAGCTGTGTTATATACATACAGTAGGTCCTCATTGGTTATCCATTTTAAATACAGCAGTGTATAGATATCAATCCCAACCTCCTTTACCATCCCTTCTCATTCTTTTCTCTGGCAAAAAGTTGTCCCCATAACTTTCTCTAAATCACAGATTCTCTGAATCTATGAGTCTCTTTCTGTTTTATAAGTTCATTTGTGTGATTTCTTTTTAGATTCCACATATAAGGGACACCTCTTAGATATATTTTAAACTATAGGAAGTAATCTTGTTATCTTGAAGAGAGAATTTAAGAAGGAAATTTGTTGAGTATTTTACATGCAGCGAAATACTAGAGATCTGGATTTTGTTTGTGAGATTTGGAATTAACTCTTACAAATTGAGCACTGTGAGCCTGGGTTTGTGATTTCAAGTTTAAGATTGTCATTACCAGTCTCAGAGCAACCTTTGAGCATGGAGTTCCTCACCGCGTCGCTATCTTGAAAGTTTTATAGGCTTTATAGAAGTACAAAATAAAAATTTGGATTGGAATGTGTGATTGCTTCCTGTTCCAAATATGGGTATTTCTTAGCTTTCAGTCAGGCAACTCGAACCGGCGGAAGAGTATTTGACTGCGGTTGTTGTTCTTTCCATTTTAATGATTAATAGTTTCACTGGAGCTCATAATATTTCTGTTTGGAATTCAGTTGAGCTGTCTCTGGTGATTGTTAGAATCCGGGCCATCCTAAACAGGGGAAGGGGAAGTGGAGTGATGAAATGCAAAGCAAAACTCCTGGGCTTTCACAGCTGAGGTTTATGTTTCGTTTTACTGCCTTTTGCTAGAAGCACTAGGAACAGTTGCTATTAAGTATTTATGATATTTTGGTAAACAACATCCTAAAATGGAAGTGAATAATATATATATTCTCTAAAGCCAAAGCTTTTCCTTTAATCTTTGGATATTTATTGAAGGAAAAAAAAATCTCAGTTTTTTTTCTGACATTTGGTTTTGGCATTTAAAATTTCTTTTTAAAGATCATGTTTTTTTCAGAAACATAGGGTGAGATTTTTTTTTTTTTTAATTTGTTTTTGGTAGCATGTAGGCTTTTTTTTCCTCATGGTAAATGGGGCTTTTCAGGGAAAACATGCAATTTAGTTCTATCACATATAAGAATGGCCAGTGGACAGGCCAAACCTAAGTGCAGAATGGAACAGAGATATAATTATTTTAGGAGTTTTACATATGTATTTTGTTTCAGGAAAAAATTTCAATGTAAAATTAGTAAATATTTTTAGAGATGGATTCAAGGTACATATTGCACAACTGTGATTTGTTTTAAAATATAGGAAAATGTATTGACAATGCAAAAGGGAGGATAATTTGACCCTGTAAAAAAAGTGTGCTGTGCTGTGATTAGTTGCTCAGTCATGTCTGATTCTTTGTGACCCCATGGACTGTAGCCTGCCAGGCTCCATGGGAATTCTCCAGGCAAGAATACTGGAGTGGGTTGCCATAACCTTCTCCAGGGGAGCTTCCCAACTCAGGGATGGAACCCTCATCTCCTGCATTGCAGGTGGATTCTTTACCATCTGAGCCACCAGGGGAGCCCCAGAATATTGGAGTGTGTACCTCCACTCCCTTCTCCAGGGAACTTCCTGACCCAGGATCGAACTGGTGTCTCCTGCATAGCAGGCGGATTCTTTACCAGCTTAGCTACTAGGGAAGCAAGTGAAAAAAACTGTACTGTATTTTAAATAGAATTTTATTGTACTTGGGAGTTTTCAGTTATTTTTATAATTATACTGTGAAGGAGAGAAGACCTCTGTGGGTTTAGCCCCTTTGGAATTATTTTCTATCATCAGAGGATTAATTCAAAATTCTCCTGGTGATTAATTGGCATCTGAAAATTCTCTTTTTGTGGGTTATGACTACAGATTTCTCCTTCAGGAAATTTAGTTGTTGATTATTGGAGGAGATAAAGTTGTTGTTTTTTAATTATTCAGTTTCATTTTTAAAATTTGTATTAAGGAAACTTAAGAATGGCGTTCTCCAGCCAGGAATACTGGAGTCAGTTGCCATGATTATGTTCTTTGCAGTCAAAGATGAGAAGTTTTATATAGTCAGCAAAAACAAACCTGGATCTGACTGTGGCTCAGATCCTGAGCTCCTTATTGAAAAATTCAGGCTTAAATCAAAGAAGGTAGGGAAAACCATTAGGCTATTCAGATATGACCTAAATCAAATCCCTTCTGATTATCTAGTGTAAGTGACAGATAGATTCAAGGGATTACGTCTGGTAGACAGAGTGCCTGAAAAGCTATGGACGGAGGTTCATAACATTGTACAGGAGACTGAGCCAAATCCAAGAGAAAACAAAAACAAAGAAATGTAAGAAGGCATTGTGGTTGTCTGGGGAGACTACAAATTGCTAAAGAAAGAAGAGAAGTGAAAGGCAAAGGAGAAAGGGAAAGATATACCTAACTGAATACAGAGTCCCAGAGAATAGAAAGGAGAGATAAGAAGGCCTTCTTGAATGAAGAATGCAAAGAAATAGAGGAAAACAATAGAATGGGAAAGACTAGAGATCTCTTCAAGACAATTGGAGATATCAAGGGAACATTTCATATAAGGATGGACATGATAAAGGACAGAAATGGTAAGAACCTAACAGAAGCAGAAGAGATTAAGAAGAGATGGCAAGAAGATACAGAACTATACAAGAAAGGTCTTCAGGACCCAGAAGGTCTCACTCACCTAGAGCCAGACATCCTGGAGTGTGAAGTCAGGTGGGCTTTAGGAAACATTACTATGAACAAAGCTAGTGGAGGTGATGGAATTCCAACTGAGCTATTTCACGTTCTAAAAGATGATGATGTTAAAATGTGGCACTCAATAGGTCAGCAAATTTGGAAAACTCAGCAGTGGCCACAAGACTGGAAAAGATCAGTTTTTCTTCCAATCCCGAAGAAGGACAATGCCAAAGAATGTTCAAATTACCATACAGTTGTGCTCATTTCACATGTCATCAAGGTGATGCTCAAAATCCCTCAAGCTAGGCTTCAACAGTTTGTGAACTAAGAACTTTCGGATATAAAAGCTGAGTTTAAGAAAGGCAGAGGAACCAGAGATCAAATTGCCAACATTTGTTGGATCATGGAGAAAGCAAGGGAATTCCAGAAAAACATCTGCTTCTGCTTCATTGAGTACACTAAAGCCTTTGACTGTGTGGATTGCAACAAACTGTGGAAAATTCTTAAAGAGATGGGAGTACCAGACAACCTTACCTGTCTTCTGAGAAACCTGTATGTGACTCAAGAAGCAACAGTTAGGAACAGAAATGGAACAATGGACCGGTTCCAAATTGGGAAAGGAGTATGTCAAGGCTGTATATTGTCACCCTGCTTATTTAACTTATATGCAGAGTACATTTTGCTTAATGCTGGGCTGGATGAATCACAAGCTGGAATCCAGATTGCTGAGAGAAATATTAACAACCTCAGATATGCAGATGATACCACTCTAGTGGCAGAAAATAAAGAGCAATTAAAGAGGTTCCTGATGAGGTTGAAAGAGAAGAGTGAAAAAGTTGGCTTGAAACTCAGCAAAGTTTCAGAATACTAAGATTGTGACATCTGGTCCCATCGTGTGTGCAGGTGCATGCGTGCTAAGTTGCTTCAGTCATGTCCGACTCTTTGTGACCCTGTGGAGTGTAGCCTGCCAGGCTCCTCTGTCCACGGGATTTTCCAGGCAAGAATACTGGAGTGGGCTGCCATTTCCTTCTCCAGGAGATCTTCCTGACCCAGGGATCGAAGCTGTGTCTCTTAGGTCTTCTGCATTGACAGTTGGGTTCTTTTACCACTAGTACCACCTGGGAAACCCCCTGGTCCCATTGCTTCATGGCAAATAGAAGGGGAAAAAGTGAAGCAATGACAGGTTTTATTTTCTTGGGTTCCAGAATCACAATGGACAATGACTGCAGCCATGAAATTAGAAGATGCTTGCTTCTTGCATGGAAAGATTTGACAAACCTAGACAGCATGTTAAAAAGCAGACATCAATTTGCTGACAAAGGTGCATATAGTTAAAGCTATGGTTTTTCCAGTAATCATGTATGGATGTGAGAGTTGGACCATAAAGAAGGCTGAGCACTGAAGAAGTGATGCTTTCAAATAGTGGTGCTAGAGAAGATTCTTGAGAGTCCCTTGGACTGCAAGAAGATCAAACCACTCAGTTCTAAAGGAGATCAACCCTGAATATTCATTGGAAAGACTGATGCTGAAGCTGAAGCTCCAGTACTTTGGCCACCTAATGGGAAGAGCCAACTCATTGGAAAATACTGAAAATACTGAGAAAGATTGAAGGCAACAGGAGAAGAGGACAGCAGAAGATGAGATGGTTAGATAGCATCACCAACTCAGTGGACATGAATTTGAGCAAACTCTGGGAGACAGTGGAAGACAGAGGAGCCTGGTGTGTTATAGTCCATTGGGTTGCAAAGAGTCAGACATGACTTAGTAACTGAACAACAACAAAGTTATGTCAAAAGACTTAGCTTTAAGTTAGAAAAATTTGGGTTATTTTAGCCACCAATCATGAATGAAGCCTTTTGTGTTTCATCTGGAGGGAGCTGATGGGTATAGTTATTATCTCATTATAGTTAAACTTCAGCTATTTAGTCACAAAAGGAGGAGTAAGTGATCCTCAGGGAAGTCAACCTCTGGGGAAACTTTGGTTGTGACTTGGCAAAGGAGGCACGTGGACACAGAGCATTGCAATCAAAGTTGCTCACACTAATGGTTGAGATTTTTATCATCATGA